GAATGATATCCATCGCCGGGACACGTCAAAAATGATTTATGTAAATAAACTACAAAACTATTCTACATACAACATACCACAAAGTATCCCCCACCCCACACTTAAAATGATGGCATGTCCCTATGTCATACAAGATAAAGTAATGTGAGGTAAAGTAACTTCCCTGGAAGATCAGTCTTGATCGGAGACAATGCCGGGGTCGAGATGACACGCTCTCCCCAGCGCACTCAGCAAGCCCATGATTTTTTTCTCCGACTTCGCATTTTGGGTGGCTAAAGCATCAACTCTAGTCCCCAACTCCGTGATGGAAGTGCGCAGCCCTACCATTTCCTGTTCTAAGTCTGTCATCCGCATACTCCGTCTGACTGCAGATGAACCTTCAACCGCGGCTACTTGTTCCCGTGGGGGTGAGGATGGCCCAACTTGTTCCTGTGGGGTTGAAGATGGCCCAACTTCCTCCTCCTCTTTATCGCTCTCCTCTGACGCCTCAGAATCATCACTATCAGGTGAACCGGGTGCCACCGTGTCTTTCCCAATGGTCACTTTGGATGCCCGGAACTTTGTTTGTTTCTTCACATTGCCATCCACATTGGGTTTCTATGGCACCCCTACAGCCCGGCACAATCTAGTGACCAGAGATGGGAAGAAGAACCCATACCTCCTCAGCGTTGAATGGATGAACATCTCAGAGTGAATAACCTTGGCCACATCAAAATCTTGGCCATCACGAAGCACCAGATCAAAGCAGCTCTCGGACCATTTACCTCAGTGGTGTTGTGGGACGGTAGCAGTCGACTATTGACGATGTACAACCAACACTTTTCTTCAAAGGTGAGTGAGGTTGAGTGCAACTTCGATCCCGGTACAACCCACACTACCTCTTTTTCTGGTACACAGATAGTTCCTAAAAACAATTGCCAATTTGTTGGTTCTCACCGGTAAGTATCATAGTAATCCACCTCCCCAGTGAATGCAGGCAAGCGATACACTCTCCTGATGGCTTCAATCGAGGCATTCACCCTCTTTTGTCGCACAGTGCAGATGTGATCCTCATGTCAGAACAGTTGGCGTAGAATTCCCTAACAAGCATCAAGTTACCGTCCTCCGGCTCTTCAAAGAAGATGTCTAGCCTGCGCCTAATCAACTCCCTATGCATATTGGGGCACTCAGCCTGGAGAGCTCCCATGTCAACTCCCCTTTCTGGTACAGGCTTTCTAATAGCCTTCCAACAGAAATGGTCTTGGGCAGCTCTATAGACAACCTGGTGCGATCAAACTGAGCTGAACTGGTTGGTGACCGTGCCCGGGACGAGCCTCTATGACCACTTGATGAGGCACCGGTAGTGCGTCTCTTCTTTGAAGATCTCATGGTACCTACACAACAACCACCGCTATCGATAATTGGCGGAATATGTGAACCAAGGGCGGTTACTCAGACTTCACCCGCACCATTGGTCACAATTTATACTAAAAAAACTCATTGTGGCAATTCAACAAACACCTACTATGCATATGCCCCCCATGTACCCAAAGACCCAATTAAACTTCCATTCTTCACAACTCAAAAATGTCTTCCCAACCCAACCAAATCTAATGTCCTCACATACCAACAAACAAAAACAAAGATAAGAGTACCCACAACTTCTACTATTCTACACTTACAATAGAAGAGAAAAAAAGAATGCAAAAAAAAAATTGAAAAAAAAAACTAAAAAAAGAAAGTAGAAGCATGTACTTACTTGAGAATCTTGTGAGGAATGGAGCTTGGGTAGTGGTTGAGTAGAGAAGAGGGAGAAGGAGAGGAGATTTGGTGAAGTTAGAAAAAATATTGGGGAGAAGATGGGGGAGGGGAGCGCTGGTTTTGATTTGGGGAAGGGGGAGGGTTTTAGATGTGTTTTTGTTTAAAGGGGAGGGGAAAAGAAGTAGGGGGAGTGGGCGGATGAGGGGAAGGAAGCGCCTGATTTAACGTCCCGGTATAACGCAGGCCTTCTTTATTACTCTTCGCTCATGTATTGGGGCTCTTCCAAAGATATTACCACTCTATCCCCCTTTTCTTCTACCATTCCAAGGTAATGTTTCAACCTTTGCCCATTCATCGTGAACTTATTTGTTCCATCTTCGGATTCAATTTCTACAGCTCCACTTGAGAACACTTGCACCACTCTAAAGGGTCTTGACCATCGGGACTTCAATTTACCTGGAAAAAATCTTAGTCTCGAGTTGTATAACGACACTAGATCTCCAAGTTTGAAGTTCCGATCTAGAATATGCTTATCATGCATTATTTTCATCCTTTCTTTGTACAATCTTGCGTTCTCAAATGCATGGAACCTGAATTCCTCGAGTTCATGTAACCCAGTGACTCTACTGGTGCCTGCGGTCTCCATATTCAAATTCAACTGCCGCAGTGCCCTAAGGGCTTTATGCTCGAGCTCTACAGGAAGGTAGCATGCTTTTCCAAATACCAACTTGTATGGTGACATACCAATTGGAGTTTTAAGTGTTGTGCGGTACTCCCATAATGCATCATCCAGCTTCTTTGCCCAATTAGTCCTTGTCGTACTGTCTTGGTTAGGACACTTTTGATTTCCCGGTTTGACACTTCAACTTGCCTGCTTGACTGTGGATGATAAGGGGTGGTCACCTTATGGCGAACTCCATACTTTTTCAACAACCGTACGAACGCTCTATTATAAAAATGGGTTTCACCATCACTAATTATAGCTCTCGGGGTGCCAAAACGCGTGAAGATGTTTTTCTTTAGAAAGATTGTCACCCCCTTTGCATCATTGGTTGGGAGAGTCACAGCTTCAACCCATTTGGAGATATAGTCAACTGCCACCAGTATGTATTTGTTACCATACGAGCTGACGAATGGCCCCATAAAGTCAATCCCCCACATGTCAAATACCTCCCCTCTTAAATAGTAGTCATCGGCATCTCGTGACGTCGAGATATGTTGCATGTCCTTTGACATTCATCGCAACTTTTCACCCAAGCATGGGCATCCTTGAACAGAGTTGGCCAATACAAACTCGATTCCAACACCTTAGCTATTGTCCGAATCCCTCCAAAGTGTGCACCATATGGTGAAGCATGGCAAGCCTGCAAAACAGAAGGTTGATCTTTCTCGGGGATACACCTTCGGATTATGTTATCTACACATATTTTAAAAAGTAGAGGTTCATCCCAATAATAAAACCGACAATCACGAAAGACCTTTTTCTTTTGAATTGAAAAGAGTTCATAAGGTACAATACCGCTTGCTAAATAATTAGCAATATCAGCATACCATGGTGTCTCCGGTTCATCCGGGAATGTCTCTGTTATATCTTCAACCTCTGCCTTCTTTTCAGCTCCTTCCAACCTTGAGAGGTGGTCTGCTACTTGGTTCTTTGTCCTTTTTCTGTCACGGATCTCCAGGTCGAATTCTTGTAGCAAAAGAACCCAGCGGATCAAGCGTGGCTTTGACTCCTTCTTTGCTATCAAGTACCTAATTGCTGCATGGTCAGTATAAACAATAACTTTTGAACCAATCAAGTACGACCTGAATTTGTCGAATGCAAAAACTACAACCAACATCTCTTTTTCCGTCATGGTGTAATTGAGATTTGAACCGCTTAGCGTCCTACTTGCATAGTAAATTGGGTGCATCAGCTTATCCTTTCGCTGCCCCAAGACTGCTCCTATAGCATAGTCACTTGCGTCACACATGAGCTCGAACGGTTGCTCCCAGTTTCGGTGCAATAATGATGGGTGCAGTCAATCTCTTCTTCACCTCCTCAAAAGCCAACCTGCAATCATTAGAAAACCCAAAGGGCTGATCATTTTCAAGGAGTTTATATAAAGGGTTAGCAATCATGGAGAAATGTTTTATGAATCACCTGTAGAACACGGTGTGCCCAAGGAAACTTCTCACTGCCTTGACAGAAGTGGGCGGTGGCAACTTCTTAATCACGTCAACGTTAGCATGGTCAACCTCAATTCCTTTGCTGGACACTGGATGCCCCAAGACTATCCCTTCTTGTACCATAAAATGGCACTTCTCCCAATTCAGCACTAAATTTGTCTCCACACATCTTCTGAGCACTCTTCTTAAATTGTGAAGATAGTCCTCGAATGAATCCCCCACCACGGAGAAATCATCCATAAATACCTCCATAATGTCTTCAACCATGTCCGTGAAAATGGCTAACATACATCGCTGGAATGTAGCCGGTGCATTGCAAAGTCTAAAAGGCATTCTCCGAAAAGCAAAGATGCCATACGGACAGGTGAATGATGTTTTCTCTCTATCTTTGGGGGCTATTGAGATCTGATTGTACCCCAAATATCTATCCAAGAAACAGAAGTGAGATCGCCCAGCCAACCTGTCCAACATTTGGTTAATGAATGGCAAGGGAAAATGGTCCTTCCGGGTGGCTGTGTTCAATTTCCGATAATCTATGCAAATCCGCCATCCCGTAACTGTACGAGTAGAGATCAACTCGTTATTCTCATTTTGTACGACCGTCATTCCTCCCTTCTCCGGTACACACTGAACAAGGCTAACCCAATTGCTGTCAGAGATGGGGAAGATGATACCCGCATCTAACCATTTGATCACTTCCTTCTTCACCACCTCTTTCATATTCGGGTTCAGCCTTCGTTGATGTTCTCTGGAAGGTTTGTGCCCTTCTTCCAGAGAATATTGTGCATACAAAAAGCTGGGCTGATACCCTTTATGTTTGCCATGGTCCAACTAATAGTAGTCTTACATTCTTGTAACACCTGTAGGAGTTGCTCTACCTGCACAGCTAGCAAACCGGATGATATAATAACAGGTAAAGTAGAATTAGGCCCTAAGAAAGCATACCTGAGATGCGCTGGGAGCGGTTTTAGGTCCAACTGTGGTGGCTCCTCTATCGATGGTTTCGCAGGTGTTGTTGTTCTTTCTTCTAAGTTTAGGGGCTCGAACTGGGGTTCCCTTTTCCAGAACTCTTGAACTTCAAGAGCCATGACCTACTCTGCCAACTCCTCACCATCCACATTTTCCAGATTCATCAAGCAGGATTCTAACAGATCCCTGACATTAATAGTCTCATCCTCCTCTTGTAGTATTACATCTACGGCCTCCACTAGTGAGCAATTTGCAAATTCGGTGGGTCTCCTCATAGATTGTTGAACATTGAATATTATCTCTTCATTGTTCAACCTCATTTTTAATTCTCTAGTTTCACAATCAACCAATGCTCTCCCAGTGGCTAAAAATGGCCTGCCCAGAATGATTGGTATCTCTTCATCCAATTTACAGTCAAGAATGACGAAGTCTGCAGGGAATACAAATTTTCCCACTTGAACAAGCACATCATCAAGAATTCCTGTCGGTCTTTTGACTGTGCGATCAGCTAGTTCCAGCAACATTGAGGTCGGTCTAGCTCTGCCAATGCCCAGTTTTGTATAGATTGCCAAGGGCATCAAGTTTATACTGGCTCCCAAGTCACACAATGCTTTAGCAAAAGCATAACTCCCAATGGTGCATGGGATAATGAAACTACCTGGATCAGACACCTTTTGAGCCATGGGCCTTGTCACTACCGCGCTGCAGGTCTGCGTCAGAGTTACAATGGACAGGTCTTGGAAGTCAAATTTTCGCGACATCAGGTCCTTCATCATTTTTGCATACCCTGGCATTTCCCTCAAAGCATCCATCAGTGGAATATTCAATTGAATTTGTTTGAGCATTTCCATGAATTTCCTGTATTGATCATCTTTCTTTTGCTTTACCAACCTCTAAGGGATGGTGCGGGAATCAACCTCTGCCCACTGCTTTGTGTCCTTTCTTTGCTCGAAGCTTTTTCTACTACTTGTTCTGAGAGTTGTTCACCTTCCTTCTCCTTACCCTTGTCAACCTGTGCCTGCTCGATTACAACCTCAGTGAGCTCTGCTGACTCATTTGTCTCTAATATAACTGGGGTAACTAGAGTAGTTGGCATTGTCTCTCTCCTAGATTGAGCAACTTCTTGCTCCCTGTCTAAATCTCTTCCATTCCTGAGACTCACTGCCATGAGCTGATTTGGGTTCTGCTCCTTTGGATTAATGTTTGTATCTGCAGGCAATGTTCCTTGTGGGCGATTGTTCAAGGCCATAGATAGCTGTCCCAATTGAGTTTCAATGCCTTTGATTGCTGAATCATGTGCAGCTAACTTCTCTTGCATCTTTCCATTTGTCCCAATGAGTTGTTGCAGCATACCCGTGATTTCGATCCTGTTACTATCCTCCTGTTGATGAGGTGGTTGGTAGGCCAACTGTTGCTGGTGTTGCTGATTATAGCCCTGTTGCCTCTGATAAGGCACGACTTGGCCTTGTGGTCGTGCTCCTCCTGGATTAGGGTTGTGTTGTGGCTGGTTTGGTATGTATTGCTGGTTTGATGTTGGTCCCCATTGCTGTCCACCTTGCCTATGACCTCCGAAATTATTGACATAATCCATGTCTTCTCTGAAACCCTGGTTGTCATTCTCTCCACTCCACGAGCACACATATGACTGGTTTATGCAAGGAGTGCATAAGCCTCCATTTGTAGTATCAACAATGTGCACCTGTTTCGTACCCATCTCATCAATTTTCTTTGTCAGCAAGCTCATTTGGGTCATAAGAGTGTCTATGTCTTCTGTATTTGTGTTGTTTGGGTCAAGAGCGACATAATGGAAAATTGGGGTGAGTATTGTGTCTTTCGTCATCCAGCCTGAATTTTGAGACATCTTGTCAAGAAGAAACTTACACTCTGTGAATGTTTTGCTCAAGAATGCACCCCGGCAGAAGCATCTACATTAGCCTTCAGACTGTCAGCCAAACCCATATAGAATCTCTGTCCCAGCATCTGATCCGGAATGCCATGGTGAGGACACTTCACCAACATACCCTTAAACGTCTCTCAGGTTTCTTGCAAAGTCTCAGTCGGTTTCTGCCTGAATTGCAATATCTCATGAATCTTCCTCGCAGTTTTGTTGGGTGGATAAAACTTGTTTAAGAACTGCTTGACTAGTTCCTCCCAAGTAGCAATGGAGTTTATTGGGAGCGAATTCAGCCAAGTTTGAGCCTCCCCGGTCACTGAGAATGGGAACGGTAATAATTTGATTGCCTCAGGAGTCACATTCGGTTGTCTTTGAGTGACACATATTGATAGAAAGTTCTTCAGATGTTGTTACGGGTCTTCGATGTATGACCCGGAGAACAACCCTTTATTCTGCAACAGGTGCAGCATGTTGTTGGTAATCTGAATGTCTCCGCTTGTATCTGAGGAACCGCAATTGTTGTGGCCAGGTTATCAGCAGTTGGTGCGCCCAATCATAAAGAGCAGCTTCCGGCACAAGAGGTGCTACCACTCTGACATTTGGGTCATCTCGATCATTCCTGTTGTTCCCGTTGACGTTATCTATGTCATCCATTTCAATTTCAATTTGTTCGTTTTGTTTCAGCTGTTTGCTCTTCTTGTTAGCCCGGTTCAATGTCCGGAATGCTTTCTCGGGGTCTGAGAGTCCTTCAAGGAGTTCACCAGCTCTCAAAGAGCTTCTAGGCATGCACCTGAGTCACAGAATAGTTCAAACGTGAGAATTTCAATGGAAATATTTTTAACACCTGAGAAAATTGATCTAAACTAATAATCCAGCAATTCTTCCAAGTTGTAATAAATAATACTGTTAGTCCCCGGCGACGGCGCCAGAATTTGATCACGCCCAACTATGCCTTATAAAAAGGACTAAGCGGTCGCTGCAAATATAATCCGGTTCAAGTCCGGAATCGAATTCCACAGGGAACTAACCTATTTACTACAACTTTTAACACTGCTAATGAATAGCTCAAAAAATCCCCAGATGCAAAATTTTTAATGGATAATGAGTAGAATTTAGTTAACTAAGGAAAAATGACAATAAAACTACCAATAATCTAGAATAGAGTTGAATTCAATGGTAAAATGGTCTAGGGTTATTGATTTTCCCAATTGTTGGATTAATTCCTGACACGTTAGCTATAATCTCGCTGTAACCCTCTATAATATGAGTTTTGGGTTACTGCAATTATCTCTCGATCAATTACGATAATTTACTAGAAGCATTCTCTCGAACTACTCTAGTTAACAAGTTATGCAACTCAGAATTATCCCACCAAAGCTTCGTTATCTCTAACCTGCTTTTAAATTCAAGTAATTAATCTCTTAACTTACCCGAAAGTGGTGTTGTTCAACAACAATCTAACCAAATGTTCTTTCTCAGGCAACACAAGATAACTAGACACGATTAATCAAGGGCCCTTTTAATTAATCACAAGACAACACGTAGTTGAACAATCACAGAGTAAAAATGGCTCAATTATATAAAACATAGTCAAGACTTCATCCAACAATTGGTTCCATCAACCCTAGATGACGGGTTTAGCTACTCATACTAAGAGATAAAAATTCACTATACAAAGTCATAATCAATAATGGAATTAAAAAGAAGAAGATAAAAAACTCGAAGGAAGTTCTCTGTCTTTCTTCCATGTTCTTGCCTTCAAAATCTCTCTTAAAACAGCCCCTCCTCTCTTTTGGACGAATTAGGCTTCATATAGGTTTAGGTTAGTTGCCCTGGAAATTACATAATTGACCCTGGTTTCTTGGCTTCTGTCAGCCCGTCCGCGACCGCGGATTGGACTGCGGATTTGGCACATGTTCTGTCCGCGGTCGCGGAGCTGACACTTGCTTTTCTTTCTCCTTTTCGACCGTGCTGTCGATTGGCCTTCCACGCTCCATATTGACTCCACAATACTCTTTAGCTTCCTCCTAGCTCGGAGTGACTCCTGCAAAACGAAAAACTCTTAATTAGAGCATTTTGTTGTCTTTTAACATTCAAACATTAATAAAGTGCGGCCAAATTAGAGTGTAAATAGTATTTAAATTGCCTAATTATCATCTACTATCACTACATCAAGCTTAAAATTAAGCTACACCAAGCTTAAAGCCCAACAATGTTTACATTGCCCTTTAAGTGTGATGTGGATCTAGATCAATGAATATCTAACTTACCAATAGTATCAGAATTTGCAGGAATATAGGTAGAGCAAGATGACAACAACTGTATGTCGCTCCCTCTCCACATATTCGCATGTATACAAAAAGTGATAGAGGTCAATTGGTAAATTACGATCTTTACATTATCCAATTGAAGAATAACTCTTATCTTTATTTCTTTGCCATAGAGATTCTTTGGTGCTAAAACTCACAAACATGTGGATGGCCTCCCAAAGCACAATCGGGGAAAAAAAAATCAGAAATAATCATATTTAAAACTGGTAATTGAAACATAGCCACAGTTTTAAAAATAATCGAAATTTAGCCATTTTTTATGTAAAGATAAAATCTGAACAAAAAACACCCTTAGAATCCGAAAAAATTCCAGCATAATTGTATACGGTAAAAATCGGGGCTACCCGATTTCATTCTTTGGTCGGGATAGGAACGTCACGACAAAGAGCTGGGACGTCGAGTCCGGATCGAGGTAGACCTCGATTGTGACCAGAAAAAGGCAGACTTCAAGTGACATCGGCGTAGCTCGATAACGGAAAAGGCGAGATATAACGCGATTGATCGAGGATCGTGGCGTGAATCTCGGAACGGTTCAATTTACAGCGGTTAATTAGATGTTAATATGATTTCCTATTATAATTAGAAGTGTACCTTATTTAGGACTCCTCTATTATATAAAGAGGGATCCCATTCATTTGTAAGGAGGATGGTTCACTGATAAGAATATATACACTCATTACTTTCTTGCTACTTCACTTACTGTTCATCAGAGTTGCTTTATCATTTAATATTATCCCACTCATGACTATCCCAAGTCGAGGTCGAGATCTGGCTAGCATACTGGTTTGATTCATTTTATTCTCTAATTTATTCATTTATTTCCTTGCTTATCAATTAGTATTGAACGAAATCACGTATCCTTTAAACCACAATATAAGTTTAATTGTTATCCAAATTTGAGGGTAAATAATAATATGATGGAGTTCGAATTTTTACATATGAGCTTCTAGCATAATGTGCTGGAATTTTATAATGTGTTGGAGTTACATCATAATATGTTGGAAGTTTATATGCAGGAACTCCATAATCCCGCATATTATGCCGAAACTTTCTGTGTGCTAGAGTTCCAACATAATATGCTGGAAGTTTATACGCATGAGCTCCATAATCCAGTATATTATACTAGAACTTTTCGTGTTTCAACAAAATAGTGGCTATTTTGCAATAACTTCACAAACGCTGGCTATTTTTCAATTACCAGTCCGAAAACTGGCTAGCTCGTGCTATTTTTACAGCATAATCTTGAAGTGGTTCTTTTTCAAGTGGCACACTTTTAACAAGAACAAATTTACTAAAGTTTATGCATTTTGTGAATATCATGGGTAGTAGTGCAAGCACAAAGGAACTTTTGACTTTTTTTTTTTTTTTTAAATCTCTTAAGTCAACTGTTTGAGATATGTTTAGCTTTTAACCATTACTCGCCCGACCTGATACCCATCTTGGAGGCTATCATGATTAACATGAATCATAATGGTGCAAATTAGTTTTTCATTGGGTTTTAGTCAGTAGCGGCGTCATGATTTTCACTAAAGAGAATAAAAATTTTAAAAAG